AGGGAAGGAGGGAAGAAAAGTTATGAAAATCTAGTAAGGTAATAAATAGATGTGATTGTTTTGTAAATCACCACTGAAGGTGGTGCTGCAGTAGAAGGAAGGAACCAGATCTGTGGTCCAGTTCTTTAGTAAGTGACTTTTCTGACCTATTCTCATTGTCTATGGAGTGAAGCAAGTACGACTGATCCCAGAGCATGTAGGAAAACCTTTTATTTTTAGGGGAAAGCTTGAGTCTATGACAGAAGATTTAGGTTCCAATCCAGCTGTCTTTAACTCTGCACTTGAGGCAAATAACTACCTCTCTGGGTCTGTGTCTCCCTCCATGAAGTAGGGATAATAATACCTCCCCCATTTCCCCCATTTGGAAAATGCGAATAATAGTCACTCTACTTTCTTTCCCTATAAATTGGAAATGGTAACAATAGCCAGTGTACCTTCCTCAGTAGTGAAATATAAGTGGGCTGGTTGCTTTACTCATCTGCTTGTAACACACACACACTCAACATTCTCACAGGATTTGAAGGTTCCAAAGAAATAGATGTATTTAAATTCCTCTCTGGAGCTACAATAAATGATGTCAGACATTATGTAATCATTAAGCATTTGGGGAATGCCTACTAGATGACACTGCACAGCTGAGGGGGAGCAGCAAAGCTCCTGCTTTCATGGTACTTACAGTCTAGTAGGGGGATAAACACTAAATAATTACACTAAAGACTGCAGATAGTAGACACTACTTTTCAGTCAAGGTAGTGTAAATTTTCTTTCAGCTCCAGAGCGTGGCTCTTCCATGAGTTTCGTTTTCCTGCTCTTGCCCCTGCAGAAGTCCCAGAGGTCCCTCCGGTAGAGGAAGTGCTCCCAGATTCTGGTCTTCTAGGTAGTAGTTTCCTCAGGATCAGAGAGACACCCCTCTCCTTTCCTCTTCCCGAGTGCACAGTGTAGGCTAGCATAGCTCAGTTTTTAGTCCTTTTTTTTTTTTTTAGCTTTTTCTTTGTAATTTTATTGAGATGGAGTCTCACACTGTCACCCTCAGGAGAGTGCGATGGCATCCTAGCTCACAGCAACCTCAAACTCCTGGGCTTGAGCGATCTTCTTGCCTCAGCCTTCCGAGTAGCCGGGACTACAGGTGCCTGTCACAATGCTCAGCTATTTTTTAGAGACAAGGTCTCACTCTTGCTCAGGCTAGTCTCGAACTCCTGAGCTCCCTGCCTCGGCCTCCCAGAGTACTAGGATTACAAGCATGAGCTACTGCAGCTGGCCCTTTGTAAATTTAATTTGGTCAAAATTAAGATTTTTTAGAGGAGAAGAAGCAATTTTTATAAAATCAGGGCTCTGGTCCCATAGTCCCAGGACTATGATCCTCACAGTCACTCTGGCATCTTCCTAGAAGGTCACAGAGCTTCTAAGAATAAGTGGAAGCAAGAAGTGGGTCAGACCCTTCAAAGGGCAATTACAATTAGTGTTGCACATCCCACTGGCTTCTGTGACCTAGAACCAGGGGAAGAGCATGCACACTATGGAAATATTAGAACAAAAACAGAAGAGAAATATACACTGATTCCGATTTACTGATTCCTATTGCGGTATTTGTTTTCCAAGAACCCTTACTGGGAACTTTGATACTCTTTATTCCTGAGAAGATCAGATCTTTCAAACATCACCCACCCCCACTTTCCCCTTACAATAGGCATTCCTGGATCTAAGAAATGCATAACTGCACAGCCCTCCCTTTTCAGTGCCTTAAGGACTAAAGTCAAACCCTGTTTGTAGTCATTGTTTTTCTAACCCCTTGAGCTGGTTTTATAACTCTAGTTCTATTGCTCTTTTCTTAGCTGGCTTTGAAATGCCCTATCGATGACTTTTTGATAAATTCCTGCTAGGCAAGGAGTTTATTATCCCTTTCTTTTTTTCTGGCCAGGGCTAGGTTTGAACCCGCCACCTCTGGCATATGAGACTGGCGCCATACTCCTTTGAGTCACAGGTGCTGCCCTTTTTTTTGAGACAGAGTTTCATTATGTCCCCCTTGGTAGAGTACTATGATGTCATAGCTCACAGCAACCTCAAACTATTGAGCATAAGCCATTCTCTTGCCTCAGCCTCCCAAGTAGCTGGGACTACCGGCGCCCACCACAGCACCCAGATATTTTCTGTTGCAGTTGTCATTTTTGTTTTAGCTGGCCCAGGCCAGATTCGAACCCGCCAGGCTCAGTTTATGTGGCTGGCGCCCTACCCACTGAGCTAGGGGCACCGCTCCTATTATCCCTTTCAACAATACTAGGGAGTCTATCTCCAGATCTCTTATTTCCCAGCACTTGGTGTCTTCCAGGGAACAGCCTCACATTTCATTGTGGCAGGTGAAGAGTCATTTGGCAGGGTGAATGTGCCTGAATCCTAGGATACTACAAGCTGGTCTTCTAGTCTCCACTAGCCCGACACTTCTGCAAAGCCCACATGGGGACTGGCCAAGGAGAGCAGAGGGCGGAAAAATGGCCTCTCATTCCTATCATAGGACTTTACCTAAAAGGAAAGGTCTGCAAGGACTGGCATCACTCAGAATCTCCTTCTTCTATCTTCTCTTGGACTGAGAACTGTACTGAGAATTGTATCATAAAATTAATGATGAGAGATTTTTTTTTTATTAAATCATAGCTGTGCACATTAAGATTATTTCTTTTTGGTTTTTTTTGTTTTGTTTTGTTTTGTTTTGTTTTGTTTTGTTTTTTGAGACAGAGCCTCAAGCTGTCACCCTGGGTAGAGTGCAATGGCATCACAGCTCACTGCAATCTCCAACTCCTGGGCTCAAGCAATTCTTCTGCCTCAGCCTCCCAAGTAGCTGGGACTATAGGCACCCGCCACAATGCCCGGCTATTTTTTGGTTGCAAGCGTGATTGTTCTTTGGCAGGCCCTGGCTGGACTTGAACCACCAGCTCAGGTGTATGTGGCTGGTGCCCTAGCCACTTGAGCCACAGGTGCTGAGCCAAGATTATTTCTTTTTTTAGTTTCATTTCTATACACCGCCCTGTTCTGTGCGGATAGCACCAAAGGAAGGAAGACATGTTAAAGATAGAAATGTGATTTTGTGCCATCTGTATCTAGCTTTGACCTGTGCCTTACAGTCTACACTTCAGTCTCCCAGGTCTTCACCGCTTTTATGATCTTCTGGACCCCTCCCCCCTCCTCATTACTCATCTCACTCTGCCATTTTTTAGTTTGGAAAAGAACAGCAGATTCTGTACCCAAGAGGAATGAAGGTCATCGCATTTAGAACGTGAACATTCTCTTCTCTTTCCCTTTATCTAAAAGAGCTTAATTAAAAACTGAATTTTGACTCCAGGAGGCCAAGGTGGGTGAATTGCTTCAGCTCAAGAGTTTGAGACCAACCTGAGCAAGAGCGAGACTCTGACTCTAAAAATCGCTGGGCATGTTGCAGGCACCTGTAGTCCTCCAGCTACTCAGGAGGCTGAGGCAAGAGGATCACTCCAGCCAGAGAGTTCGAGGTTGCTGTGGGCTATGACACCATGGCACTTTATGGAGAGTCACAAAGGGAGACTCTATCTCAAAAAAAAAGAAAGAAAGAAAAAGAAAAACAACTGAATTTTGGTTTAGAAATGAAATTGCAGAATTGGAATTGAAGTTAATTTATGGTTGAGATCTGAAAGTCAGTTTGGGGAAGTTGAGCATAGAACTTTACAATCTTCATCTCACCGGTTCCAGACCACTAAAGAGAGATGGTGGGAATTTGAGATGTTCGCAGAACACTGTCAAAGGACCCATCCTACTCCAGCTCTGCCTTTCCATCTGGATCCATTTAGTTTCTGCTTCTTCCTTTAGGCATTGAGGGGTGCAACAAGGCAGGGCATGAAGAGAGAGCTTTCAAAGCACCCATCCAATGAACCCTGATTGTGGCCTTTATGCACAAGAAGAAGACAAAGGATAAGTTGCTGAGAGGAAGTATGTCAGGAATGGCCTCTGCACTGCTACTCCCCCTGAACCAACACACCCAGCCCAATAGCCAGCCATTCAGTACTGGCCACTTCCCTTCTCAGGAGACAGGCAGCCCTTGCACACAAAAGCAGAAGTAGATTAGTGGAAACAGCACTGGGTTAAGCATCAGAGGACTGACTTCTGGATCCAATTTTACCCATCAGTAGCTGTGGAATTTGGAGAAAGCCACTTAACCCCTCTGTGTCTTAGTCTCTTGGTTTGTAAAATACAGAAACACCTGCCCTTCTTCCTCTCCCTGAATTCCATAGTTTGTTTAGAGGGTCACCTGAAGTACTGGTGGCGAATGACCTTTGAAGGAATGTCATGCTGAGACTTCGCATGCATTGTGCTCCTACAAACCACTTTCAAACAACTAGGTCTGTTTTTATAGGGTATTTTATGTTCTTCACCAAGGGTGGGGCTGTCATGTCTAGGGTAGAAGCCAGCCTCCAAGAATGCTGTTCACATTCATAGGTCTTGAAAACCCCTAGTCATGGGGTGTGACCACGATCTGTCCAAAAGATAATGGCCTTTGGTTCATTTTTAAAGCCTTCTAGCTAGCACTGAGAAGCCCACTCTCCCAACCCTGACATCTTCAGCTAATCTTGTCACCTGGGTACACTATGTGTAGCTGAGTTAGAGGGTCCTGAGAGTCAAACTTGTGTCATCACTCACTGCTCTGTGAACTTGGGCAACTCACTTGGTATCTCTGAGACTCAATTTCCCCCTCTATAAAATGTGAGAAATGATATCTGACTCTATTGGCTTGGCATAGGATAAATGAGACATGTAAAATTCCTGACCAGGTTTCTGGTTAGGAATGTGTCAGTTCTCTGCTCCTCTTTACCCTGACTTTAGGGAAAATTATTGTCAGGCACACCAGCCTGAAGGTCTTTTACACATGTCAAAGGTGTTTAAGAATCAGATCAGAGGTGAGACCACCCTGCAAAGGCCACTTTTGCCAGCTGTCCTGACTCTGCTATCTCCCCTCCTTACCCTGGTGCTTCATGCAGGAAACATCATCGGCTCCGGAATCTTTGTCTCACCAAAGGGCGTGCTGGAGAATGCGGGTTCTGTGGGACTTGCTCTCATCGTCTGGATAGTGACAGGTCTCATCACAGCTGTGGGAGCCCTCTGCTATGCTGAGCTCGGGGTCACCATCCCCAAATCTGGAGGTGACTACTCCTACGTCAAGGACATCTTTGGAGGACTGGCTGGGTAAGAGGATCTGTGAAAGCCTGAGTGATCTCGGGGGAAAAGGAGAAAGACAGTAGAGAAAGAAGTCAGGTTGGAGGAAGCCAAGGCCAGGGGGGTTTCCTCTCCAATGTGCCAACAAGGACTAGAGAATGAGATTTCTCCTTTGCTTTTCTGTCATGTTTGCTAGTTTAGCCTTGTGTCCCCTATATGCTTCTTAGAATGACAGAGGAACCAGGTTTGTCATGTTAATCTATACAAATCTTATAGGAAAGATTCTGTGAGTGAGAGCAAGCAGAACTATATAACAACACTGACCTCTGATTCCCAGAGAAATCACATCACAAAACCAAATCCCTTCTATCTTGACAAATGAGAGTGACCACCTAAGATACAGTATACCCTCTTCTCCCATTACAAAGGATAATGATCCTCTATAATCAGGCCCTGATCTTGAATTTCTCAGCTTCTGAAACCCTGCCATGGAAGACCTCAACCCTCACCAAAGGGTCAAAGGGTGTGGAAGGTACCATTCCTACAAAACCCCACTCGGTGCCTCCCTGGCAGTTGCTTAAGTAGCTTTAGCATGTCCTGTCTATCCCAATTCTGGGGTTGCAAATGTTATATTTCCACATTGGATGCTGGGGGCCAGTGTGGGAAAGAAGAGTTAATGAAAGGAGAGAAAGAATGCCAAGACTCTTGTTAGTGCTAGTTGAAACTTAGCTCTTTCATCATAAAACCATTTTATTGTCATTGCAGAGGGCTGAGGGTGGGGGGTCGGGCTCTTCAGCATCCCTGAAAACAAAAAAAGGAATGCATTCCTTTAACCCACCTGCCTCTCTAACGCTGCCCACCTACTTGCCCAGCTTGACTTGCCAGGGCTTTCTTCTGATGACTCCGAAACCCTGCCATGCCTGCTGGCGGGGGTGTCCTGTTCCCCCTTCAGGTTCCTGCGGCTGTGGATTGCTGTGCTGGTGATCTACCCCACCAACCAAGCTGTCATCGCCCTCACCTTCTCCAACTACGTGTTGCAGCCGCTCTTCCCCACCTGCTTCCCCCCAGAGCCTGGCCTTCGACTCCTGGCTGCCATCTGCTTATGTAAGTGTCATCTGATCATTGTTCTCAGGACAGCCTCTTTTAGCCTCCCTCGTGGTCCACACATTTCTGATTCTTCTTTTTCCCCTTTCCCCCCATCTCCTTTTCTTTCAATTTCCTCCAAGTGAGTTTTGGATGAATGGATTCTGCATACGCTTATCTGGTGTTAAAAACAGAAGAAACTTAAGTAGTTCCTGGGAGGCACAGTAATTTTCACTGACAGGGTTCTTTACATTGCACAAAGCACTTTCACCTACATTATCTGACTGGGGCCTTATGACAAATCTGTGAGGTAAACTGGGCCTGTGTTAACATTTTCCTAGAACAGATAAGGAAGCACAGAGCCAGGCAAGTGACTTACCCAAGGAAACAGGCTCTGAGTGTGGTGCCGGTCTCCTGATTCCTTCTCCTTCCAGCACCTTGTGCTGGCTTCTCCCCACTGCTGATAGGAAGATTATTCTGGCTTCATGGCAGAAGGTCTGTGTTTTACCTCTACCTCAACTTGCCAACTTTTTAAGCTCTTTTGGAGGAAAGTTTGTTCTCAGTCCTCAACCTTGAGTGTTGTAACTGGAGAAAAAGCCATACAGACAGATCTTATAGGTTAGGATTCGATTGCAATAAAAAACTCAGAGGAGGGGAAAAGATCTCTGTGAACTGGAATAGGTTAGGGGGGCTTTATAAAGAAGTTCCGTAGCATCATATTTCTAGGAAGTCTCAGGGCTTAATCTCCAACATCTGTGTGTTGGGGTACTTTATATCATTCATCAAAAACTAATTTCTAAAGTAAATACTTGAATATGTTTTGGAGGCTTGACTTGTGGAATTAACTCAGTTCCTGCCCTCCCACGCCTTCCAACAGATACGCACGTAGCTGATGGCAGTGATCATCCTGGCCATACCCTTTCCTAGATCTTGACACTTTCCTCCTGTCACTCACCCACCCCAATAGCCTCTCACGGGGCAGACAGCTGGGACCTAAGAGATGGTCTCCATGGCGAGTGTGCCCTCTTCGGCAGTGGTGG